TCTCATACATTTATCCCTAAATATATTGAACAAGCAAAGGAGACTTGACACAAACTCGATTTACTCCCTGCTCAATGTTGAACTGTATGTTAGCACCAAATTCACTGTCATGCATGCTTTATTACAATTGTATATTGCTTTTACCCAATTCAGAAACCAACATTCAAGTCCATATTGGTGCAAAACATTCTATAATTGACACCTACTCAATCGATTAACAAGTGTACAATGAACTTTCTTCTTCATATTCATACAATTCTCAGTGACTTCCTGAAAAGGTAAAAATCTGGTCTGTACATTCCCTGCCTGGTGTAAATCATTTCATAAATCACCCCACCATGTTTCAACATTCTCAAGGCATTTATGACTTCTTTTTCCTTTCCTTTTTCTTTTTTTCTTTTGGATACCAATATTTATAGCATTTAGGATAACACTCTTTGACATATTACTATGATTCACATTTTTAAAATACAAAAATATTCTTCAGACTTCTCTCCAGTTTCATCCCAAATCATTCCATCACTTTCATTAATTTTGTCATTATTGTAATGTTCCATTTATTTTCTTTATATCACTTCTTTAATCATTAACATCTATATATTGCACAGAGTTCATTTGAACTGAGGCAACAGAAAAATTGCAAAAATAAAATAAATAATTTTACTTATTCTCTTACATGCATTTTTTTTTCTTATCCATAGCCTCTTTCCTTCGATCATTCCACAAACATTTTTTTTTATACTTCTGATTATCATAACTGGCACTCTGTAACATAATTCTCCAAAGACATGATATATGTCTTTAATTATACTGACTCATCCAAAAGATGCCTGTAAGGACAATTGAGTAACCATAGGCCGATGTCCAAAATTCCATATTTAGCCCAGCTGATGAAGAAGACAGTAGCAGAGTAGCTTCAGAAATTCTTAGAGGAAACAAATTACTTAGACCTCTTCCTGCCTGGGCCAGACATGGCTGTGGCACACACAGCACTGATACATGCATGATCTGTACTGAAACAGGGGAAATGTGACCATATTATTTTTATTTATTTATATTTCAAATTTGTCACCACCCATCTCACTGCATGTTGATACTCCTGGATCTCTCAGTGGTTTTGACAGCATTGACCATTAAAGCTTTTGAGAGAGGTGACAGCCCAAAGTCCTGCCCTGTAATGGTTTTCTTGTTATCTCTCTGAGTGTTATCTAAGGGGGCACTGGGAGAGTTCTGTACCTTGGGACAAAGTTCTTGGGTCATAGCAGTAGGTCTGAACTCACTGTGTGGCAATTGTGAAAAGGCAATTTCTCTCTCTGCAGCAGCAGGAAAAGTACAGAACAAGGCAGCCAGAATTATCGGGGATTTAGACAACTTCTGCATGAGAGAAGATTCGAATGTTTAACTTTCTAGCATGGAAAAAATGATGATTGAAATATATAAAATGATGCAAGACAAAAAGAAAATAGGCAGAGAAGTTTTTCTCCCTTCCTCAAAATACCAAGTCAGAGGTCACCCAAATAGAATTGATTGAAGGAATATTTAGAACAAAGAAAAGTAATTCACACAGGACATAATCAGTGGAATTCATTGTCATGGAATGTGGTAGTGTTCATTAACTTGGTTGTTAATGTGCCTTCAAACACCAGTTGCAGAGGAACATGGGTGGAAGAGGAGTATGCCTTCATCTTGTCTGGTCACTGTGAGAAGCGGTCTAGACTAAGATGGGCATTGGCTTGATCTAGTAAGACTATTTTTATTTTCTTATCTCTCTGAATTTATTATTTTCCCCATAATTTTACACCCAGACTAAATAAACTGAATTGGAAACTATTACTACCTGTGTCTTTCCATTTTTAGAAACATTACATGCCAAAGATTCCTGGAAAGTTTTAACAGTGTAAGATAATTTTAGTAGACTTAGATAAAATTACTAATCACAATGAAGCATAGTTGGTAAAAAGTATGAGAGTAACTGGATCATCCCCTTGTTTCAAAAACAAGTTAAAAAATGATGCTGAGACTAGTTAATTTAGATTTGTTCAAAGTAAACGATACTGAACAGATCTACATAATACAGAGTAAAATGCACTTACAAACATCAACAACTCATACATATGTAGATAGAACCTTCATCCATCTGGTCTATTGTTACAGAAAGTGCAGCCCTGGGGCCAACTGGGGCTTGCCAGCATCCCATCTGCAGTCACCAGAGTCAGTGGAATGAAAAACATTGGCCCCTTTCTTTTTGTAGGTATTGGCATTTTGGAAGGGGCTTAAAGGGCAAAATGGGTACTCCAAGTGCTGAACAGCATTAAAACACCCATTTCATATCTTCGAACCACAGAACCACCCTCAAAAGCAGATCTTGGCCCTACTACTGTTACAGGGTAGTGCTCAAGATGTTATGCAACACTTGCTATGGTCTTCCAGCTGCACTCCTGACCTAGCCAAGACTGGCAAGCATCTCTTCCAATCTTGCTTCCCAAGTTCATTTTGGTTGAAAACATCCAAAGTTACGTTTTGGACTTTCTACAACATGCAAAGCAGCTGCTGGACTTGTGCAGAAATTTGAGCCTTTTTATCTTGAGGAAAAAATAACCTAGTTAGTCTGGGCAATATACATGTGAGCATGAGTGAGGGAGATTTTGATTCTGGTTTGCAGGGCAACCACATCTATGGCTGCTGCTGCCAATGCAACTGAGGATGGCGTGTGCACTCCACATAAGCTAGCCCATTTCACACTGCCAGTGAAAGCAATTGTTGGATCAGCAAAGATTGTGCAAGTTTTCCCATGACAGGATGGGGACAATCAGAGGGAGAGAAGCAGAATTTTTTTTCTAGAGCTACATCCGTTTCCCATCTGTATGGGCAGCTGCCATACAGATGTGCCCTGACAAAGGAACAGGTGATTCAGAGACATTAGCAAAGCCAGCTAACTTCATAACTTCCTAGGAATAACCCAAATCAAAAACAAGGAGATACTTTTTTTCAACCAAGCATTTCACTATTTCAGCTGTGTGCTTTTTTCTGGAGTGTAGTTGTTCTCTTTGGAAGAAAAGATAGGAGGAACTGAACTGGACTTCTGGGAGAGGAAGAAAAGGTTCCTGTATTGTAAAAAATGTTAACATTAATTCTTATGGCAAAGTTGGAGAAGTGTTATTAAATCTGGCTGCCTGCCACAGGGTGGAGTTTTGTTTTGGTATCCTTTTAGAGTCTGCAGGTGTTTGGCACATACAGGGAAACAAGGACAGCTGCGATAGTTCAGATCTGCTATTCCCCTCCCAATATTTCTCAGAAGTGATGCAGTGTGATGATGCCTTACACCTGATATCCTCTACTTGTGTGGCATGTCTAACTATACAGTTACAGAAAACCTTTGCATTTTATGCTAAAAAAAAAAAAGGAAATAAAAGGCACTTGCAATAGTCAGCTAGCAATGGCTGTCTAAAAATACATAGTCCAAACTGTTGTCATAGCTGCATCAAGAACTGGATCCTGTCAATCTAACATGGGCTGCTTTCTAAATTAATTTTCCATACTTGTGACTATAAATTAGTATGTAAAAAAGCCATGTTTGTGAAATTTAAGATATCTGCCTGCAATTCCATGAGTATTAAAAAAAAAATCATTTTGATACTTCAGCATTGAGTAAATGCCTGCCTTGCTTGCTTGTTGTTTTCTTGGGGGAGCGGGGGGAGGGAAGGAAAGAAAGAACAAACAAATAGGGTCTACTTTAAACCAAATTAAAAAGAAAATACATCACAGTTTATGTTCCCAAATCCTGAATTCCAGCACAAGTTCACATGAATAGGTAGACCACACTGAAATCAGCAAGTGAATGTTTAAACCAGCATTTTCCAACCCAATACCCTCCAGATGTGTTAGGACTACAACTACTTCTAGCCAGCAAAGTCATGCTGGCAGGGGATTCTGGCAGTTGTAGTCCCTACAACATCTGGAAAGCCCCAGATTGAGAAAGTCTGATTTAAAGATTGTTGGGAATTCCTTTAATGGAAATCCACAAATCTTGGCTTGATTAAAGGGATGTTTAAAAAATGGAAAGTTTGGAAAAGCCTGGCTATAAAAAAACTGCATGAAAATGGCCAGCATCATTGTAATGTACTTAATTGACAAATGTTCTACATAATATCTGTCTTATATGTTAACCAAACATATAAAATTGTTAAATTGCCTTCATTTAATATGTTCATCGTTTTTTCCACAACTGGGGACCACACTCAACCCCACATTAAAATATTCAGATCTATCTTCTTTTTCTCCCCAGTGCTTTCACTTTTGTACAACTTCCAAAACTGTTTGAAAGAGTCTCCTAAAACTGTGGAACAGATTTTGAAAATGCTTAGCTTTAAAAGAAAGAAAGAATCCAATCCACCAACAATGTCTGTGCCATGATAACCAGACACAATCTGATAAAACTCTGAATATCCATGCTAAAAATAAATACTATGTATGTGTGTGTGTGTGTGTGTGTATATTAGAATGATACACACACACACACACACACACACACACACACAG